TTAATATTATTACTTCTACTTTTCTACTTTTTTTGTTTTGTCTTTAAATTTCTAAATCATCTGTAATGATATTAAAATGAAAAAATCAATTAAATCACTATTGATACAGTTACAAAGTAAATTACTAATTTCTTCTAGATTAAGATCTTGGATAAACTTTATGTAATTAAAAAGGAGAGGTCCTACTGGTTTATGATATATATAAAACTAACTGTAGGCTGTAATAATTTAATAGGAAATAATTCATCTTGATTTATAGATGGTAAAAATAAATCATCATATACTTTATGTTTAAGATCTATCTCCATAAAGATTATTTTTTTATATTGTTTATTGGAATGTTATTTATTGGAAAATAATCCCATTTTAATAGAAATTTACAATAAAACTTTGATAAATATTTTACTTTTGTCCCATTCAAATAATTTTATTACATATCTCAAAATTTTAGTAAATTTATCAAAACCAGGATCTAAATCCTTAAAAATGTTCTCAAAATTAATAGTTTTGTTTATTTTTACCTATATCTCTTTATTTTATTTGATGTTATAAATTTCAAACTGATACAAATGTCTAATACAAGTAGCTTTACTTAAAGATTCAGCAGATTTATTTTAGAATTCTGGTTTAATCCATAAGGATAGTTTTTCTTTCAAAATGATCATCACGTTCTACTAATAAGTTAACCTTACATACTTTTCCTAAAATAGTGATTTTAACAACAGAAGATGAGTGTCTATTAAAATTATCTATTTTAATAGAATGTGGAAAACCTTTATTAATTTGTTATCTATGTAGATTAATCCTTAGATGTAAAAGTAAGTCTATCCTATATATATTTTAAATCACATATACCATAAGTTAATAAATAAATTATATTAAATGTAATGGGATATCTTGACAAAAGTACTGAAAATCTGTAGCAGTGAGACAGGTTAGACATTTGGAATTATTGCAAATAAAATTTATCTATCTTTTAATTTCTATCAATAATTCAAACTTTGATCCTACTCAAATCTATCCAAAAGAACATGCTTTAGAAAGAAGTAAACAACAGTAATAATTGTGCACATTGTTTAAGTTTAGATACTGTTATATGGAAGGCCAAGTGCAATTGACCATTTTTGACAGAAGAAGAGATTTTAGTTTAACCATCCTTGGTTTACCTAACCCAAACGGTGTAGTACCATATATTCTATCAAATAGAATAGTTATCTGAAAAGTAAAAAGATATTTGACTATTTGTAACAACAGTAATTTTCTTATAGATAATATTCAATTACCTGATATTGAAAAAACAACAATGAATTTAAATATTTGAAAAAAGTAAAAAATACACTTTTTAATAATAAATATTGTAACAAGGTCTCTTTAATTCATAATAAATAATAATTTTCTTCAGTTCTGATGATTTGAAACTGCTCAATATTAGAGGATTGTCACTACAAACTAGCAGATTTCAGAATATTTGATACTTCCATATACATCAATAGATTATGCTCTTTTACTCTATCCACCAGTCTTCTTGTAGTAGATTCGATAAAGATACTTTAGAACACTCAGGTAATCTATATATGTAGATGATGTATGAGTGGTTTGTTTGCCTACTTTGCATTTAAACACAAAATAGTTACTTATTCTGATGATGAGTTTAAGGATGACTCAACGTTCTACTTGTGGATAAATGTTGCAGAGTAAAGTCTTTAGTTGTTTCTATATTTTCAAGGCATGTTTACCATTCACTGGTAGTTATACCAAGAGTCTTTTTTTTTGGAACATTATATATCTCCTCTTTAGGGGTAGAAGCTTTATTGATGTGCTTATTGGTTATGCTATTTATTACTTTCATTGGAAAAATCATTCTTGCTTAAATGATGTTTAATATATGAAATGAAACTGGAATTTATTATCAACCTACATTTTCAGGTGTATATTATAACTATAATAGTTTTTTACCAAAGAAATTTAAAGAAAATCTGATATAATTTTGGTATACAGCACTCATATACTTACCAGAAATATAGAACTATTTAAGAAAAAAGTAAATAACATGGTGATTTTCCAACAAAAGTAATAACTATCATAGTCAACAAGGACATCAAGAAAACTTCCACCACTAAACAGGAGATATACAATGTACCAAAAAAGACTCTTCATGTAACACTACCATTCACTGGTAAACATGCTTTGAAAATAAACAACAACTAGACTTTACCACACAACATTTATTCACAAGTTCTTAAACCCAAAACCACCATCAGAATAAGGAACTATTTTATGTTTAAAGACAAAATAAGCAAATCACTTCCCTCAAATGTCTTTTATATATATATTAATACTCCGAGTGTTCTAGAGTATATATATAGGATCTACTACACGAAGAATGGCAGATAAAGGAACATACTTTATAGAGGTATGTGGAAGTGTCAAACATTCTGTACCCATTTAGCTATTCTAAATTATGGGAACTGCAAAAAATTATTTATTTATCACACATTAAAAAGAGACACTGGCCATTAGTGACGTGTTGAAAAATAAGTTTTTATAAATGAAATGATTACCTTTTTATGATGATAAAGAGGACAATAGTTATTCAAGGTTATCCAAAGTTTAAAAATAACTAGCTTTAAAATATTATTATACAATGGCTCTTTTCAGTATACCAGACTATAAGGATCAACTTCAGATAGCTGGGCTTGTCTCAGCTTGCCCATGTTATACTTGAATAAGTTTGTCAAGCGATGAGGATGGGTGTTTAATCTGTTATTACCAAACTATCAAGGTAAGGGTTTATAGTTCTAATTACTATCATTTTGTAAGGATGAAGGTTGGGAATCATACAAATGTAGAAATACAGGGTGATTTACTTCTACTATATGATTATTTTAATAACTGCCTTTCATGTCAAGATATTAGGAGGGGAGAGGGCAACTGTCTTCCCACAATTGGCTGCAGACAGTGAAAAGTAGTAGGAATTGAGACATTGTGGATTAAAGCTATCAACTCTTAACCTCTAATTTGATCTTTCATAACAGCTATCTAGTTGGACATTTGCCTTTGGATCAGGTCTGGTAGATGGAAAATATCTTCAACATTTTTGGGTGCTATGAGGAATTAATGAATAATAATAAGGACTGGCTACAGACAAATGTTTCATTTTTGTGGTTTAGACCTCATAATGGACATCTTGGTTTTGGCTTAGAAATAACAATAGAGACAGTGAATACAATCCAAATGTCTGTCAATTATGTGAAACCTAAAAATAAACAATTAATTTTCTCTAATTTTTATCCTAAAAGTTTCCATTTTGGTCTTTTGTAGTTATTAATTACTTATTCACATCAGCAGTAAAACTGAAGGCATATCATGCTAAAAATTGTGCTTCACAAACAAAACAACAACGTATTCACATAACATATACTAGGTACATAAGGACATTAATCTGAAAAAATTGGGCAATTTCTTACAGACATTAGGATTAAATAATGTACAAAGACTTACCAATTTGTACAGCTGTGTCATAGGAGAGAGCTACAAGAGCTGAGAATTCATATGCTACAATAACACTGAAATAAAAACGAAACAGATGTGAAATACAAGTTTTAAATAATTTGTGGGGATATCTACATAATTTATTCAATAATGAACAACAAGTACAGTTTCAAAATACCAAGTATAAAAGAATAACCTTCTCTCCACATGTCACAAGGTTTGGTGAGTTACATTCAAAACTTAATTAAATTACATTCTTTTCAAGATACACCAATAGGTATAGCATAAAAATGTAGTTAATAATCCATATCCTAATAGTATACAAGTTTTAAGTTCTTACTTTTATAAGACAATATTAAAGTTAATATTTTCCTAAATTGAAAATGTATTTCCAATAATGCTTACCTATGCTGACACTTATAGCTATTACTCAACCACCAGGGTTTCAACTTTGCCCATCTAAGCATTGGTCTCATTTTTTCTCATTTGTTCCAGTCTTTTATACCCCACTCATTTGCCCTTGGCAATATTTGTTTCGTGATACTTTCCACCTACATCAATGCACCCTCTATTCTGGTACTGCATATAAGCGCCTCATTCCAGTCTCTAACACTGGCTCTTAGTGAGGAGGAAGAGCAGGAGATTGTCAACGGAGGTAAGCATTATTGGAAATACATTTTCAATTTAGGAAAATGTTAATTTCCAAAACATACTTTGCTCCGCTGCCACTTATAGCTAGAATTCCACATTAAGAAAGTGGAGGAACTGATGAGAGCATTATCTATACAGAAAGCATCTGCATAGATCAAGGGTGTACCAAGATAAGATTGGTACCCGAGTGGGGGGAACCACACTACATCTAGAACAGGCGTGCTCTTCACCCTGAACTTAGGGCCTGTATCAAGGGTGGCATAGTACACAAGTAATGTACATGTACATGAGTAGGATTGGAAACAGGAATAGGGGCTTGACGTGATTCTGACTGCGACAAATGATTTACCAGAGAAGGCAGGGTAGAGCGTTGATGTAGTGATTCCAAAATATCCGGGATATCGTAGAAAACATACCGCCTAAGAAAAGAAAAGGAACTATACATAATTCCCTGAGATAAATGGGCGGCAAACAAATTTGTGACAAGTCCACATCATGACCCAGAAGACCATCCCAACAACAAAAAAACCATGTGTGTAAGGCAAAAACTGAAGATGACAAACAAGCCAACATAGAGGTAATAAGGGCAATGCTGTCCCTCGAAAAACCTTCAGGATTTTGGTGCATAACTTCTGAAATGAGATGTACGGTAGATAAAATATCATAGAAGGGGAAGTAAGGGTAAGTCAAAGGTATGAAAACTGGGCATGGGTTAAACGCACTGGAAAATACACCCCAACAACTGAGTGTCTAGAAATGGACAGTCTGCATGAGGGTATGCCAAAGCAAACTGATCTGTAGCCCATGGAGAGCAAGGCATACTAGCACCGTCAATCAATTGGGAAGCAAAATGCTCAGCATGAACACTAATATCCGGGGAAGGTGGGAAAACTAAATATGGAAAAGAACTATCATGCAACAAAGGAGTACGAAGATCATAGGAAATCAAGGAAAGGGATAAAACATCTCATACCTGAGAAATCATATCTAACAACACCATATTAGGCCTAGCTGATTCTGCAGGTGGGGCATAGGAAGACACAGCAAAAAAAAAGTGGTGGAAAAAGTTATCAAAATCTGCATCAGAACGAACAGGTTTGGATTGGTCATGAGGAAGTGGGGCAACTTCAGGAGAAGGTGGTTAACCCATATAACGATCAATCTCTCAGCAAATAAGAGTAGATAAATCCAAAAATGGGTCACCTCCATTTGCAGCCTGTGAAAAGGTGCTTATAGTAGGTGTGAGACCCAAAGTGGTCACATTAACCTTGGAATTCATGGTTAATAATAAATCAAACAAACTGTTTGATAGATAAATATAAACATGCGAAAATACAAAAATAGACTGGAAATTAAATGAAAATATATTCGTCAGTTATATAATAAAAACATAAAAAAAAAAATTTCAGATTTATAACTGTTGCAATAACAAAGCACACAAGAGCAAAATTTGAAACATCTAAGCACAAGCACTGATGTGATAATTTGGTACAATTGAATAGAGGGAGTCACATGCATAACGAGTATGTGGTACTCTCATTGGTGGAGGGTTGTCATGTGATGATTTGCATGAGAGACACATTGTAATGGGTCATTTTCAATGGAAGGAAGCAAAAGGCTTGGGGATTGCATAATTTTTTTCCATACAGAGGGCAGCACTGAACGAGAATAGCTAATTATGTGAGTGAAGGTAATGCACTGTATTGGAATATATTTAGGTTTTAGAGATTACACAAATAAAATTTGAGATTTTTAAAAGGAGGAAAAGTATTTTTAATCTTAATGTGGAATTCACTTAGCACTCGGTCTAATATATAGAAATACTACATATATTCATGGACAAATCTTTAATAAAAATACTTCATTAAAAAAATCAGATTTCCTGTGTACAAGAGACTTATAATGTGTTTACTAAAAGTCTGCAAATTTTGTGAAGATACACAATGTGTATTAAAAGTTATAGTATGGAAACTAAAAATACAAAAGTGGTTACAAGGTTATTTGATTCAACCAACTTTGTTGTAAGAGAGATAATACTTGTAGTTACCTCTTTCAGAATGATGAAGATCAAGGGTTGCAGGATCATTCTTTTGTGTAGATGTTGAGACACAGAAACTACATGTGTATAGTACATTAATTACATTTTGAACATGTTCATATTCTTTTGTAAGATTAGTCTTTCCCAGCAGTTGGAAAATGAACCAGTTCTGGATAACATGGTTATTCCATGATTAATTTGAAAAGTTTGTAAAATAAATTATATCTAAGAATACTCTAACTCATTAATTTCAGTCCATTGAGACATATTACAAATGTATAATAAAAGTTACAAGAAAGGAACCAAAGAACACATCATCTAAAGTAGAATTTTTAAATTTAACTAATTTCAAAACATTTAATCTTGCTGCAATATTAGTAGTACTAAAGGTTTTATGACTGAATGTTACTTATCAAATATAAACTTATAAAGATCAGCTACATTTAAACATGCAGGCATTAACCCTACAAATACAGGCTGGGTGGAATCCACACTGTTCGTAACCACTAAAATATCCATGAGTGTAATTGTGCTATAATTGTTAATAATGTAGGCAAATCTTTATAACATTTTGCAGATTATTAGTAAACATTACAAGGGTTTAATACACAAAATATTACGTTTTTAAATTAAGTATTAAGATTTGCTCGTGAAATATTTCTTTCAGAATGTTGACTATCCAACGTGCAAAGTAATTTTGATTTAAAGATTAAAAATACTTTTCTTTATCTGATATTTGTTAAGTTTCATTTATGTAATGTCTATATCCTTCTAGATAACCAAACTTTTGTTTGGATAAAACTTTATATTTGTTGGTCCATTTGACCAACCTTGTAACCATCATAAAAATTAGAAAATGAATCTAAATTTACTTTTTTTTTGTTCTAGAATAATTGGAAATTGTAAAATGTTTATTCTAAATAGCTTAAATCTTGTAACAGTATTAATCTATTTATATTTATTGACCTTTGAACCATGTCTGACTAAAAATACCCCAACAGAAGTTGAAAATCATGCAGCGCTCGTGCAGCTCCTATTACCGGATTGAATAGCATAACATACAAGCTGCTTGCAGGTGTATCCCATGAAGATTTTTCTTACCTATTAAGTTTCTATTTTTATGATTTTAGTTACTTTTATAATAATAAATAAAGAAAACAAACAAAAAATAAATAACCTTGTAATTAAATATCAAACACTCTTTTCATTAAAACTTTATATTTTATATCTTATTTCCTCTACTGTAACATTCTCCAGGTTGTATAATGAAAATAAAGGCTGCAATGTGCAAAATAAAATGTATAGCATTGTTAGTATTGATCGCAAAGTTTCAAAGGGTTTATACTTCTCACCTTTTCACACTTATTTTCTGTACTAATATTATTGTTAAGAGCTGACTTAGAAACTAGATGAAACAAAATGAATAGTACTGTCTGTCCTTTTTCAGTATGGATAACGAAGTTCCAAAGTAAATTACTTGAGAGTTTCTTCTGATCTTTTTACACCTATTTCCTATGTTTATTCTACTGTTAGAGGCTGAAATAGAAACCTGCCGAACATAAAGCCACTCTTTATTTAATTCGACACCATCAATATCAAATAAGCTCATGCAGTGAAATTACCAGAACTTTCTCTGCTTTGAATCAGTGGGATAGGATTTATCTACTTGTTGGCAGTATAACTGTTACAACTACAATTGCCTTAAACCTTATAAAATGCTTATATTATGACTTTGTAGAAAGTCTGGGCTGATCCAATAAGCAGATGTTTCCTACAGAATTTATTTGAATCCCAGTTCTGAGAACACAGTGGGGTAGAACTTGCCAGCTTCTTTATGGTACAATGGTTGAATAAGAACTGTCTAAAGTACTTTATAAAAATGAGAGAAAATATTCATGATATGGCTCTGTACAAAGTTGTATCTGATCCAATAAACTTGGGTGGTCAGGATTTAGTGGTAATATAGGTGTGAAAGTGCTTATGAACATCCTGGTTCCTATTTTACCATGCTTATATAATAACCAATAAATGTGTAGTCCCAATATTTTGCAAGGTACAGTGAGGTTTCAGTTTCCATACATTATATATGTATGTATATATATATCTTATTATTATTTGCAAATAAATATTGAAATGTGAGTTATTTTTTTAAACCATAGAAGAGTAAAAAAAAATATTCGGAAAACAATGATCTCTGCTACTTATGATGTTTTGAAGTTCTCTTATGTACTCGTGAGTCATACCTGCTAACTCTCGTCATAAGCCTCATGCAAATTCACATGTTGATGTAGAAAAAAAATAATTTTTGTAGACTTTATATATATATATGCATTTTTGAATACCAAAAAATTATAATGTATCATAATTTATCAGGCTTCTTAACTATGTTGTATTTGGGTCAAAAGAATATAATTTCTGTTTGGAAAATAGCATTGATCATAATACTTCAAACAATATAAAAGCTTTTCTCTTATAAATAACTTAGAAAGACTATCAGAATTACTTTGAGGAAATGTAGAGATTTCGATTGATTCTTAACTTATAGATATAAAAAAAAGGAGGCACAGATAAACAAGTCTTCTCAAATGATAGTGGTGGGCACAGCCAATATGGTGGATTTGTTAAATATTATGATATCTCAGCATAGATAGAAGGTTCTTATTTTATATTCTAGCTTGCCAATGTAGGAAATCTGAGTTTATGATTCGTGCAAAACTATATACATTGCATTATGAGCATCATAAAATGTAATCTGACCAAACTCAGAAGATGACATACCAGTGTGACACACAAAAATCTATAATTAGCTTTTTTTTATATTTACTTTTAAATTAAGAAATTAACTAATGTATAACACTAAAATTTAAATTAAAATCTACAATTTGATACTAAGTTTATTGATATACATTCATGAAAAGTAGTTCAATAAAATATCTAATGTAAGTCTTCAAATGTCATGATATGCCCTCTGACCCCTAGCTACTCGTAACGATAGGGTTAGAGACTTCATAGGCATTTCTTTCTTAATGAATACATTAGTTATTCTTTTCAAATAGTAGTTTCCCTTAAAAGGTTTTACCTAACATTTATGATAAATATAGACCTTTAGCCACAAAAATCTTACTGTATGAAAAAAACATCATATCATTTATCATCTAAGTATCAAAATTTTAAATGTTTACCTTTATGATTAGTAAAAAAAAGTTTTGGGGTTGGTGCAGTATTTTGGAGGTTCCATTCAAATCAAGTAGGAAAAAAATACAAATATACACAATTGGTACAGCCAACAAACAAGTTTTTTTTCCCCTCTTAAAATCAGAGAGTATTTAAGCAAACAGGCACTTCTTGAAGTTGTTGTGTAATTTTTTTCACCAGTGCTGAGTGTGTGTGAATAGGAAGCAACTAAGTGGGAAATACTGTCATAAAACCATCTCCTTTCTACCAATAAAAACAACAGACATAATTATAGCTAGAAGCTGGAAAAATACAAGAATTCAATGTGAATGACAATTTTTAAGTGAGGTTTGCCCAGGTTAGACAATTTGATTAACATAAAGAAGTTTTATCACTTAGTTCCTATAGCTCCTATTAATTAAAAACAGTCAAAAAGAACTAACTGATGGTGTAAAAAGTTTCCTCCAAGAAAAAAAAAGTTTATATGAAAGAAAAGCTTAAATTTGAAGTAATCAAATTAGGAGTAATATCCTTATAAATCAATTTTATTGTCTGTCTGTTTATAAACATGTTGGCAAGTCCATTACATTAAAGTGAGTAGGATACACAGTCTTTGAGGAGTTCATGCAATAGTGGACTTTTATTGAAATGCAAACATTTTGAGTGGGGTAATTCCTTTTGCAATTACAATGACATCCTCTATAAAATTAAGTGTTCCTAAAAACTTGCTATGCATCCAGTTTCATGCATGCATTGATGAAATAAAAAGAAAAAAGGCTATTGTAGTTACCTCCATAAATCTCTCTTCTGTTCTCGTTTGAAGGAATCCATCGAAGATACTGCATTAATCTTTTGAGTGATATACACTCCAGCAGTCATAAACAGCTGGACAAATAAGAACTCTGCAGCTGACAACATCAACCAATAAGGTTCTGAAAATGTTGAAAGTAGATTCTTTGTATTTTAGTTAGTTAAGGCCATTACATTTTAAGGTGAGAGATAAGAATTATAAATGTATATTTTGATTATATCATAAGTATAAATCTATCATACATTGCCCTTAAAATGATTTTAAAAATGAAGAGACCATGACTGAGTAGGAAGAAAAGATACGGAATAAAGGTCAATATAGCATTTAAAATGACTATTTGTGATATTTTGCAATACAAAACATTGAAAATTAAGATAATAAAATGAACTGTTGAGACACAGAGTTCAGTAATTGCTAACTAATTTCTTGTAACAAAGGGAACTCCTAAGGTAGAGTAGTAAATAATCTAGCTAATTCCTTGTAATAAAATGAGCTGCTGTGTAAAATAATCAATAATCTGTAACTAATTCCTTGTGGGAAAAGGAACTGCTGGGCTACATGGAAATGAGTTGCTAAGCAAAGAGGTCAACAGTTTCTAGCTAATTCTTTGAATTAAAGTGACCTGCCAGGACATAGTCACCAATAACTCTAGTTAACTCTTTATAAGAAAATGAAGTGTTGAACCCAAGTGGTCAGTAACCTCTAGCTAACTGCTTGTAAAAAAAACTATTACTTAGCCATAGTGGTCAAGATTCTCAAGAAAATAGAGTGCTAGGTCACAGTGTACAACATTATAATTCTCATAAGTAAGTGTGCTATTGGTTAACAATGAAAAATAATCTTGTTAATTATTTATAAAGCAATAATCTCTAATTAACTGCTCATTAGGTAAAAAGAGACTTATTGGGTCATACCGAAGAACAGTAAATTGTTTCTTGTGAAACGTTTGGCCCAGTTGAATAATATGCTGGTTTTGTTTTGGATAATACTGAACAGTACACTTGAAATCATCTGGTAAAATGTAAAAAAAATTAATAACATACTGAACTGAAAGGTCTATTTTGATATAGTGTGGTTTAAGTTATTTCATGTTCATCTAACACATAAAGAAAAGGCAGATTTCATCATAGCTCAAGCTGTCTTCCATTCTTATACAAAAGTGCCCAACTTTATTTCATATCCAGATTGAGCTTTAGAAGAGGCAGCTCTATGATGGAAATATGCAACTTTTGCCAAAAAAGTGAAATAGGATAATTAATGAGTATTAATATGATTCAATAATGTCTATAGGAATAGGTTTCCATCACAAAGTATCACAGAAGAGAATATTGAAGTGGCCTGGGCAGTGATATGAACTGGTGTTCAACATTAAACATTCTACAATGAACTGAAAAAACGTTTGACTGCTTTCATATATCATATCCATTCTGGTCTTTCGAAAAAATCTACTGAAGTTTGTGTAATGGACTCACAAACTTTTGCTATCAATCAGGTGCATTACAATGAGAAAAAAACAACTTTTTTTTAGAATCATTTGTGCAAAGGAAGCCAGTTAACAGCAATTCTTCAAACTTTTATTTGACTGAATAGATGGATTTAACTGTCACTCTTATAGTGCACTTAAAGTCTCAATCCCACCATCAATCATGAATACTTGGAATTCATAATCTGGAAACACTAGCCACTAGGCCTCACTTGGACAATGAAAAAAGAAGGAACCTTCAAGACTTAATCCTTTAAAACTACTTATCTTTAAACTTGTAAAATGCTGGATCATATTCAAATACTTTCAATTTAAGAAAACTTGCTGTATTCAGATATAACTAGACCACCGTGACCCATTGGGTCAACCACTATTCAGATGTTATGAAGAATTCAAGCTAATATCAATATTGCACCGAAATGAAGGTTTATTTTGAGATAATTTAATTAAATATTTCAATCCATTCGTGTTATTCATAATTCAAGAAAATGTATTTGATTGTTGTCATCTTACGCCTTTTAATGAATATGGGCACATTGAAAGGGAAATAATATAATAGCCAATGCTCAGCAAGAGGTTTTTGTTAATTAAATTTTGTTGTTGTTCTCGACTTGATTTTTCTTTATTACCTCGTCTCCATAGTTACTATTTGCAAATAGTCAATAATATTGTAGGTCCATTTTATTGTTGTTCTTTCTACGCGCCGGTATAACACATTCTCACCTCATGATTTAATTTCTGTTGTGCATATATTGTTGTATAAACGAAGTTTTATAATAATAGAATGTACGAATATTCTCATTTCATTACAAATATAGCGGTATTGTGTGCCGTTTTTGCTGTATTTAATTACAGACAAGCACACACAAACAATCTCAGAGTTTTAGTAGTATATAGATTACATTACATGGTTTGAATCTGCAATGTGTGATTTATTGTTGTGAACACCAAAAATTCTCCCTTCTACTACTATACATTGTTTGAAATTAATTATACAGCATACTCAAACTTTTGTGTTACTCATAAATTACAAAGTTTTAGGAAACAAATGTTATTTTGGCACTTACTAGTAGGTCAGTAAGAAAAAAAGAATCCTATTTTTTATTACTGTAGATTGCCAAGGATACCAATAGAAAATTTGGTATGCTAGTAAATATTGAAACAAACATGTCTTTTAATCAAAATTCTGATTTTAATGACCAGGGATCACCATAAGTTAAAAAGAACAATATAGAAAATTTTGCACAATTTAAGGATATGCCTAGAATGAATATAAAAATAAATTAGACGCAACTTTTAAGACACAAGACCCAAATTTACTCTCATGAGATTATGATATACAGAAAATAAAGGAACAATCTATGTTATATAAATGGAAGTTATTTTTTTAAACAAAATTATATAAATTATGATGTATTCATATATTTTTTAAAATGACAAAGAGCTGCCATTCAAAACATAATAACTCAACAATAATTATATTCACCAACATGTCCAACTACACAAAATATGCTTGACACTAAGATTTATATCAACATGAGCATGTGGCCATTGGTCACTTGAAAATTAGCCAAAATTAAAATCTTAACAAAATACTGTACAGCAACAACTTTCAAAATGGAATTACATTACTGCATCTTTTAAATACTAGGTATTTGTTCTTAATATTTTAAGATATGATAGCATAAGTAATTTGAAATAATTTATGGTAGACTCTCCTAAACTGCTATTTGTCTGTGATAAGTGAAAAGCACTTGGTATTTGGGAGATATTGTTTAGCTAATGAATGGAGAAACCATGGTGAACAACAATATTCTAGTTATGATATCAAAGTGTAGATGGCACTATTCACTAAGATAGAAGAAAAATGAAAAAATTAAGTATGAAATTTTGAGTGACAGTAATACTTACCTAAACATTCTATCCTAGGTTTATCAGTACTGATGACAGCCAGGACAGCCACAATAGTAAAATAAGCAAAGAACAATCCAAGAAGAGGCAAGATCACACTATAATGAAACAGAATATGCTCTATTAACATTATACAACTTGTGAAACATACACAGCACTTAGTTGTGGTTAGTATCTAATTGTAGCCTTTACTGCCTGATGTGGTTCTATGCTTCCGTTTTGTCATGCATATGTTTGTCTGCCATTATTTCAGCATGTAGCTTTTACAATAAAATGCTGATGCTTTGTATCAAATATAGACAGAAATGGTAAAAAAAAATATTTGTCTTTTTGACTGATTAAAGCAAGATATAAACAAGAAAATCTAAAAATTCAAATCATAAGTCACTACTTGGTCAATACAGAAATTCAACTTTACACACCATTGTAAACAGTTTACAAGTCAGTCCCCCTCCCCATTATCTTGAGTTATATCCCTTATGATCTTTTTTCCCTTAAGTTGAAAATACAAAAAAATTTCAATGTTTCTCATGAAGGACGTTTTGACAAACGTACCTAAAACTACTTAACGTCCCCATGATCCAATATTATTAAGGATTTATGAGTCAGCTTAATAAGGAAAATTAATTGGAAGTGAAACTTAATACAATTACAGATAAGTTTATTTTGTACAAGGATTAATGCTTCAATTTTTGTAAAGTGATATTTATTGACAAAGCTGAAAATTGTTTTTTAATTCATACATGTGGCTAGTTTATCTACTAGAACTTTCATCATCATAAAAAAATAACTCAAGTATAACCATTAATGTTGCAAGACATTTAAAATCATACAAGGGGGTTCAAATCAGTACATTGTGTGTCCGTATATTTTTTAATTCTTGTCTTCTACACTGGAGAAATGAGAACAAGCTATTCTTCATTCTAGATCAACCAAAGTGTACAAGTCGACTAAACAGAAAACGACTTTTGTGTTTGATAAGCTGTTGTTAAGTTCATGCAATTACAATTACAGAGCAATTACTGTTTCATGGTTAGAAAACATATCTAATTATAATAAACATAAGGTACACAAAAATGTATCTCATAACGTGTGTGTGTGTATATATACACTGAGTGGTCACAAGTAAAT